CCCGTTTCTTTTTACCCTACTTTCAAAGCATAGAGTTCTTTTGCTTGTGTCTGTTATATATTTAGCCTAAAAATAAAAACTGATGAGGCTTTGGTCTTCCTAATTAACGGAAATGTTTAGTTGTCACTTTTGGTAACGGCTGAGGCTTTGGCCTTCAAGTAAATGGAAGGGTTTAATTAGTGCTGACTTTTAGTAACGGCTGTGAACGGTTAAAGTTGTGACTTTTTAAGTTTTAAACATTTTTATTGAATTGTGTATAAAAGATGAGGGAAAATGACAAAAAATGAGAAAAAAAGATAAACACATTTCTTGACTTTAGATAGTATCACCTCACCTAGACCAAGACCTGCTTTATATTAATATATAGATATAGATAATTGTATCCAAAAGGATTGCTAAAATCAATATTTTTGCCAATTCACTAATTCTTGGCAAATTGGGCAAGTTGGGATACCACCTCGCATTACATCATAAAAGTATTAAGTTGATAAATAACTGGGAGAGAAAATTGTAGGAAAGAAATTTTTATTAATTTATACTTAAAGAGAAAGGACACGAAAAAGGTAAAGCAATAATTTAGAAGAATAAAATATATCGAGAATTAATAAAGTAAAATGAATGAACTCATTTTCTTTTTTAGTCCATTTCTAAAAGAATGATCTCTTCCTAAATTTAAAAATAATGTAACTTTAAACTTTAAATTACCCTTAATGAGATGATTTATAGCTACATAAATATACTTATGGCTTGTTTTAAATCATAAGTTTCAAAAGTTTTCTATTCTTTATTAAACACCGTACAAAATCAAATAAATTCATATTCATTTTTGAACGGAGGAAGTATGATATATATATATATATATNTCAATTATTATAATGGTTGTTCATGACCTTAGAGAAAAGTTTAGCAGGATTCTAATTTTAGAATTGCTGGAAAAGAACAAGTTTTTAGTTGTATTAAAGTTCTAGATATTAGATAAAAATTTAAATCTAAAATTAAAGCTATCTAATTCTAGATCAACTTGTAAGCATGCAAATCTTGTTGGATTTTAAACCACAAATTATTTGGACTATATTAAATTCAAGACAATAGTCCGAGTAAATATTGCATCTAATATAATTGAGTTAGTCATTTAAATCCAAATATACTGGGCTAGTCCATTTAATTGAGCTACAAAAATGAACCTATTTTACTAGCCCAAGGTTCAAATGGTTAGTAGCACATCTTAAAGGTCAGGCTCATACCACGTGTCGGGTGATATGGCAATCAAAGCCAAATAAATGTGCCAATAAAATCATGACACGTGTCAAGTGATGTGGAATCCTAAGTCAAAAGAACGAGCCAACAAAATCATGCCACGTATCAAGTGATATGTCAATCCATGCAAAATAAATTAGCCAATTAAATCATGCGATGTGTAAAAAGGGGGTGGCATACCAAGTCAAATCAACAACCAATAGAGTTATGCCAAGTGTTCAGATGGTATTGGTTAGTTCAAACGGACCAATCAAATCGTCGAGTCACACCACTCCCTACAACTATAATAGAGATCTTCATAAAGCTTGAAGACATCACAAGTGATAACAAGAAGCAAGCGGAGAGCTCGTAGATCAAACACTACAGATTTCTCTACAAGCTACAAGTTCAAGCACTGAAACTACAAGTTCAAGTTTAAGATCAAGAATGAAGGCAAATCAAATACCAAGGCGTTCGAGATCAAATTACTTGTTCATGTACAAATCCAAATCCAAGTTCAAGAAGGAGATTCAAAACCAAGCTTTACAAGCCCTTGATTCAAAATCAAAATCAAGTTCATTAAGATAGTTTACGTTCTTGAAGAATCAAAGAAATACATAGAGATTTTAACACTAATTATTTATTGGATCAAATATTACATTTGTTACGTAATTTTTTAGTCTTGATTATTTATTTACTCGACGCGAAGATTTATTGCTACACAACTACAATGTTAGAATCCACAATTAGTATTTGATAGCGTTTAGTCGGGCTCCCATGTGATAATTTAAGTTTCTTTTTAACTTTCGATTTGTTTATTTTCTCAAATAATATTGTTTTAATTAAGTTCAATTGTCAATTCTAGAAATTGTTTTCTTTAATTAAGTCAGAAATTTCAGTTTTTGAGTTAGGGCATATATGGTCAAAAGAATATTTTTTGAGACTTCTCGAAAACATTATTTGCGAGGGTTTCTCTCCTCGTAAAAAAAATATTTTTAAATCATACTTCCTCCTTATAAATTATATGAACTTATTCGACTCAGCACAAAATTTAAGAAAGAAAGATTTTTGAAGTTTATGATCTTAAACATGTCATAACAATTATGTCTATAAGAGTTTTGAATCTTGTGATTTTAAAGATGCATAACATTTGCGCAGCTAAAAAGTTTCTCTTTACTGGTAAAATGAAAGTTTGCAAAAAAAAAATTCAAATTTAAGAATAAGTTACATGAATTGAACCAAAGGGAGTACGTTCTATCTCCTTTATCTTCACAATCTTGTTTTTCCTTTTCCAAATAAAAATAGAAGAAAAAAACTAAATTGAGATGAAGTACACCCTAGTATAAATTAAAGCCTTGTCCTCATTATTTAACTTCCGTTTTATAATCCCATATTCAAATGATCATATTATTAAGTGATGTTACTGTAGGGTCGACACGATATGCTGTTATTTAGGAATTAGTCAGCGTTCTGAATTTTAGTTTTTCAGTTTTCAGGACAAAAATATTCTGAAGTTATGATTTTTAGTTTAAAATTCATGACAAAATATATATTGGCTAATCTCTAAATAACATCCCTGAAAATGACTGTATATGCACTTTCCACTACTATAGGTCTATATATATAATTATTTTGACCCGCCAAAGTTTGACCCAACTCACCCATTTGTAACCCGTTAATTCCAATGGTATGGTACTTACAAGTACCAGCTAATAAACATACAGTTGCGAGTTGAGTTGACGAAATAAGTAACACAAACGCAGTTGTTGTGTTCAGAATCTTCCTCAATTCTTATTACATGAGCTTTTCCTTCGCATATTTCCATTGTCTATGTGCATTTATTTCTGGGTCCTTAAATTTCTTCCAACCATGGTATGCTTTAAGTGTTTGTACAGTTTTCTTGTTCTCTTCAGTATTAGTTTCTCTTTGTTTCATTTTGTTCTCAATGTAGGATTTTTAGTTGCTAAGTCCTGAGTATTAAAAGGGCAGCTCGATTCACGAAAGCATTGTAATTACTTCGGTTAATACTCTAAATTTTGATAGAACTAATATTAAGAGATTACTTGGTTGGGAAACAAGTTATCCCAGAATTAGTTATCCCGCGATTGTTATTCCACCCTCCCCACGGATAGAAATAACACTACAATCTCGGGATACTGAATTAGTTATACTGCAATTTTATCTCAACAAAATTGGGATAAATTCATATCAAATTTAATCCCGGGATTAATTATCCCTTATTCCTCGTACCAAACGAAACCTAAGAGTTCAGAGTCAACTCTAAATTAACTATTTCAAAATCCTAGTCCGTGGACGGGCCCCACCCCAAAGGGGTGTAATGTAGGCAGCCTACCCGACACGAGCATCAGTGGCGTATTCGAGCTCTTGCAAATAAAATCAGGAGTATGATGTGTATATTTAATTATCACCAATTTTGGGCTTTCAGGAATTTATTTAGTTTTATACCACCAGGTTCATCACAGAGAAGGAAAATGTGTGTTCTCTTCATTGACAGTTATGAAAGAACTTTTTACTTGTGATTTGTTGTTTCGCGATATGCTGATTAAACAAAGGCGGAGCAAGAAATTTACATGAGGGGATTAAAAAAAAAGTACTAGAATGTCATAGTTGGGAGTTGAACTTGTGATATAAAACAACTTTTAAACCCTTTTTACCACTACACTAGAATTTTCCCTTGTGTCAAGGGGATTTAACAAATTGTATATACTAAAAAAATTTATTTTAGCCCTATTTGCTCAGTGTAATTTCTTTGCTTGTTATAGTTTGTGGATTGTGAAATTGTTTGGATAAAATAGGAATTTTCGTGCATAGATGTGGTTTAATTGTGTATGAATTGTTTCAATGTGTTAATAGGTCTTATGTACATTAAGAACAATCATTAACCTGGTTGTAATTGCATAAAAGCCAAGCATAGCGCAAAGTTTGGCTGGATTAACTTACTAGTGAATCCACGTGTCCAAAACTCTACTTGCAATCACCTTAACCAGCAATGGCAAGAAAGAAAGAACGGTGCTAATTAAAAGCTGTCTTTCAACGATGTGAAGCTAGGGGTTCTTGCTTCATGAGCAAAGCCATGCGCCTCAGAGAAGTTTGTGTTTCAAACAGTGATCCAAATGAGAATTGGTTGGTTCTTTGAATATCAACATTCAAGAATTGAATTAATATCGTCATTATTGTATATTAGATCGAAATTAGTATTTTAATTGCAATTTGATTGTTATAGTGCAAAATTCATATATGTTTGGCATTTATTACTTTTTCTCGAAATGTGTGCTTTACTTCAAAGAAGTGTGCGCTTCCCTTCTCACTTTTTGTTTTAAGCTCCATAGACCTTGTTGCTTTTTTGCGCTTTTCACTTTTAAAAACATTCAGAAAGACTATCTGCAAGGTGAACTTAGCCTACTCAATATCGAACTAGAAGCACAGTATGCAATACAAACGAAGAAAGAAATTCTAGTTAGGCGGAAGCTACCCACTAGTTGTATATTGCTTTGCATATAACTGTATTTTAATACTTATTTCGCCATGTTCTGCAGGCGACAATATGTCTACAGTGTGGTGACAAAGGATTCTCTAACGCCTTTGTTTTCTGTGTAGAATGTTTAGAAGTTGCTGTGCATCGGTAAGTTGACATGCTACTTACCGATGCACAGTATGCAATACAAACGAAGAAAGAAATTCTAGTTAGGCGGAAGCTACCCACTAGTTGTATATTGCTTTGCATATAACTGTATTTTAATACTTATTTCGCCATGTTCTGCAGGCGACAATATGTCTACAGTGTGGTGACAAAGGATTCTCTAACGCCTTTGTTTTCTGTGTAGAATGTTTAGAAGTTGCTGTGCATCGGTAAGTTGACATGCTACTAAATGTCTTCTTAAAGTTCAATGATTTTACTGTCTCTTATTAGCTTTTGTTTTTTGCGTTTTTGTTCTCTCTTGTGTGAAAATTTCTGGTTTACCGTTTTGCATTAGTTGATGATGGCTTGAACATACATTAGTTGTCTTTAAATACTGACAAAGATTTTAGGTTAATCTTTCAGATGCCTTTCTCTGGTTTTCTAATCCTCCGTTTTCTTTTATCTCTTCAGATACTGCCTCAATAAAATTCCGGAAACATTTGATGAATATGTATGTTGGGTTTGTGATGATTGTGAGGCGAAGGTGCCGAAACATATCGAGAAATGTCCCGAGATTGATTTTGTAGAGCATAGTCTTTTAGGAGGTGATAGCGAAGGTAGGAAGATTAGCGAGAAGGAGAAATGTGATCCTACTTATGTGATAGATAAGAAAGATGTAACAGCACGAGTAATTAGCTCTTCGGAGCAATTACAAGCAAGAACTGATTGCATTGAACGAACTCAATTAACTGATCTTTCTCCCTTGCCAACTGGGATTGATTGCTCACCTGCCGAGATGGTTGGGCAAAGACTTCAACCTTGTATTTCCGAGCAACCTCGTGAGGCAAATACTCAGCTCGACGCAATGGGTGATTGTTCTGTCATCACTGAAAAGGGGAGTATATTTTCGTCTAATGATTGTCATGGAAGGGAATCAAAAAGAGATAGGAGATCGACACCTGAAAATAGAACTGCTCTAAATGGAGACGCTTCTCAATCTTTGAAAGGCGAACTGCCAAAAGATTTTATACATGGTGTCCATGAACAAGCACAGCCTGTTTATGATCCTATTTGGAGGTCAGGAGATATTTCACGTATTATTCGCTTGGGAGATTATTTATCAGTATGGACCTGTTTTATTGTGAATGAAATTTCTTGTTTTCTTGCATTTTTTTGGCAGGGGTGGTTTTAATATATGGAACAAAAAATATGAAAAATTTGGCGGACTTGTAGCTCACCTATCAGTCAAAGCATGCCAAAAGGTTTTTGAAGAAGCAAAATTATTTCCTCCTTTGCTTCGCCTGGAAATGCTTCCGAAATCTGATATATGGCCTAAGAGTTTCAATACATCAGAACCCTCTGATGATAACATTGCAATGTATTTCTTTCCTTTGGATGCGAGGTAATTACTCTATATTTTCACTATTTTACACTTTGTTTTTCATTAGATTGAAGGGGAGCCTTGGAGTAACGGTCAAGTTGTCTCCATGTGACCTATAGGTTACGCGTTCGAGCCATGGAATCAGCCACTAATGCTTGTATTAGGGTAGACTTCCTACATCATACCCCCTTAGGGTTCGGCCCTTTCCCGGACCCTGCGTAAACGTGGGATGCTTTGTGCACCGGCTGACCTTTTTTTCCCATCATATTCGCTTGTTGTCATTATATATTTTCTCAGTACAGACATGTGGGGGATTTTGATCATTTGGTTGAGGAGATGATTGGCGAACAACTTGCTCTCCGAGCAGTTGTGACAAATGCGGAGCTGTTGGTTTTCACTTCCACGGAACTGCCCCTGCTTCACTGGAGTAAGTTTTTATTTGATATTAGATAAACACTGCATCACTGGAATTTCTATTAAGTTGCTTGAGAAAACTGGTTGGCAGGATTCCAAGGCAAACACTATTTGTGGGGCATTTTTAGAGCAAAGCAGGATTCTAGTAGCTCTCAAATGGTATCGAATGGGATTAAATCTATGATGCTTCAAACTCCAGGGAATGTTTTGGATGTCAGAGATAAGATAAACCTTGTGAAAGCCAAAAATTGGGGTGCAGAGAGTCCTATGAGCCCTTTAAGCAATAGCGCAAGCCTTGCGTCTAGCAATTCCTGAAGCATCTGAACTCCGAGCTTTTCAATAGATATACCTCGGTTATATTTCATCTCTTCAAGGTTTCTTCTAATGGTAGGCCTGGGCCTCTATTCCTGCTTTTCGGGTACCTCTTCATCTAGTATCAGACGATTCGTTAGACAATTCTTCTCGGTGCAAAACAAAGGTTTGAAAACCTAGGAGTTTAATAATGAGCATAACGGCCTGCTCGTTTTTGTACTATTTGACCGAAATGAAATTTTGAGGCCTAATGAATGCATTCAAGGGCTGTTGGTAAGTAACCCGGTGAATAAAGCAAGGAAGCTGACTCACAGGGCTTTGGTCTAGTGGTAAGAATGCAGCGTGTGATGTGTGGGTTAGACGCATGTCATGAGTTCAAACCTTGCCGCACACAAATGCTTGGTACTTAAGTGGAGAAAGGTAGAGGACCAGGCTCATTATCCACCGAGTTTGAATCGTGCATTGCTGCCCCTCGTGAATTTCTCAGTTATCAAAAAATAAAAATTTAAAAAAAAAAAAGGGGGGGGGGG